GCCTCCCCTCTTCCCTCATTCTCCCCTTCTACCTTTCTCCTTTTCCCTCCACCTCCCCTTTCTATCACCTCTGCAAAAGCTCCAAAAGCTTATTAAGCTATTGCACACACACTTCCACATTTAGAACTGTAAGTCATACACTTCCGACACCTACTTGTGCAGGACAAACATACAAAAGTGGCTGTCATGTTTCTTGACAAAGTGTGAATGAGGAAGCAGTACTATGATATGAGACTCAAAATTGTTTCTTGTAGGTTTTCAGTCACTGTGACAGTTACAAGATATCTAATTTCCTTTTTAAATTTTTTTTGGGGGGGGGTCTTTTCCTTTCCCTTTTAGTGGGTTTGAAGTTTTTCCTTTGTATGAAATAGAATTATATAACGAGCCATGTAGAGATATATAATGAAAGCCAAAGTGAAGTGAAGTTGCTGTAGATGATGATTTTTTCAACAAACAGCTCCCATCCCCAAGTCAAACCTTCGTTATGCATAGCTTGGCTTATCCTAGGTTTAGCCAACCCAAATTTGAACATGCATAACTTACCTCATGTTGTCTTTGCCTGAACATGAGCAAATCTGCCTTCATGAAAACATCCTCAAAATAAAGTGTGTATATCCTAAACTCAAGCAAGCCAGTATAATCTAAAGTATAATCTAAACTTATTCAACCACTATAACTTTATCAGTCAGTATCTTACTGTATTTTATGGTCCTACACTATCTAATTAGCTGTGATGTATTTAATAGATCAGAGACCTCTCTCAAACAGAAATAGAATTGACTGGATTTTGCTCTAGAAGTGTTGTGAGGTTCGGTGATAGGATGGATTTAGTTTATTTTTTTTATTTTATTTTATTTTTTTTTTTTTAGATGGGAGGAATGGTCTCATCAGGTTTTCGACCATTCTTCCAGTTGCTGTTTGCATTTAAGCAATCAAGGAAATATTGTTAGATATTGCAAAGCACTGGTGGTTCATTCATAGATTAATTGAAGAAGGAAGAAAAAAAAGAAAGGGAAAAAAGAAATAACTATCATTACAACATATTTATTATCTTCAATAACGATATGTGTTGATGAAATGCTATATTATCCTTTGTTAATATCTCTTGTTGCTTTGTACAGTACTGCTTTATGGCTTTGTAGGCTTTTATTAATGTCTCGAATGACTTTTTCATTGATAGGAGTCCTCCTTGTTTTGATTCCTTTGCCTCCTTCTTCTATTCCTCTTCCTCTCCTTTTCCTCTTCTTGCCCAGCCTCCTTCTCAGTTAGTCCCTTGTCCCTCCTCCTCTTCTTCTCCTTCATCATGTACCTCCCTCTGCCCTTCTTTGCCTGCTTCCACGGCAGAATCCACATTCCTCGATGGAAAAAACATAAATCTTGTAAATACCACCTTAAAGTTGCGTTGAGAAACCTGCTTTCCTTCCTACCTTGTGAAAGAAGTACAGGAGGAGGTTTTTAAGGTGTAAATCAGGTCCTCATGGATCTCAGTGCTGTAAATACTAATTTGAATGGGTAATCTGCTTCGTATGGCTATTATAAATTCCACGGATTTTTCCTTTGGCTTTTCATTTCTCCAGTTATTAAAAATTTTGATGTGAAAGAAAAGATCAGATTTAGGACTTTCCTCAGTAGACTTTGACCAGTAATTATTACGTAATTTAGTTTAAAGAGAAAGAGAACACGTATCAATGGTAACATGATCCACACGTGATTCAAAAAAGTGTAAACCTTCATCCCCATAATTCTGTGCACTTGCCACAACACTACACGCTGATGCTTTGATAGACTTTTCGTCTTTTCTTCTTCTCCTTCAAGTTTGTAATAGAAATGTAATGATAACGATCTCCTGACTAACCTCCACTACAGCAGAGTATCCCTTTTCTCGGCAGATTCAGACAAGATGAGTGAAATGGCGGCAGCGTGCGAATCTCCCCCTAAGAGTGTCCTTAAGTTTGACGATGATTCGGAGTTCCCGCCTGTGTAACGGACGGAAGGGGCTCAGAGTCCGGTGGGCTCCTCACTCGTCTAGGGTTCTAGGTTTCTTGTTTCTTTTTCTTTTTTTCTTTTTTCTTTTTTTCTTAGTCTTTCAGTCTTTGTCTCTTGTCGTTGTCATTTCTCTCTCTCTCTCTCGTTTCATAATTCTTCCTCTTTCTTTCTTTTTTTTTCATCAGATTCTTTTCTTATTTTTTTCTTCTTTCTTTCTTTCTTTCTTGTTTTTTCTTTTTTTTTCATCTCAAGTCTTTTCCTTTTTCTGTGGCTTAGTGTAATGTATTGGTGGACCTGCCTTTTGTGTTTCTTCAGTGATATGAATTGGATTTGAATCTAATGAATGTCAGAAATAAATGGGCCAATTGGGGTTTATTTTAAGTTTGTTTTTTTCTGTATTTTTCTTTCTTTTCTTAATTTTTTTTTTCCTTTCTTTTCTTAATTTTTTATTTTACTGTCATCAAACTGCTAAGGACATGTGTGCGTGTGTGTGTGTGTGTATGTATGTGTGTGTGTGTGTATATATATATATATATATATATATATATATATATATATATATATATATATATATATATATATATATATATATATATGCATATTCATAAACATATATGTATGTATGTATATATCTTCACTTTTGCATTTCAAACCCTTGACATTTCCCCGAATTAGACCTTTTGATATTGGAAGCCGTTGGGTATTGGCGGCAGAATCCTTTGTGTGTGTGTGTGTCATATTAGAAGCTGATTATTGTTTTCCTTTTATCAATTATTTATTTATTCTTTGTATATTTCTTTAATTTTATTATAACTTTGTGTTGGGAAAATGTGACTGGGATGGGATTTTTAAAAGAAATTATTTTGTTATTGTTCAGTGTTGTATAAATCAGAGCTCTTGTGTGCATCACGAGGTTCCTTTCCGCCTTTTCTTCATTTTACGGAAAGTTACTAAGTTCACATGTGTGTGATGTATTTATTTATTTATATGTATTTTTTTTTTTCAAAGGAAAATCAATGTGATAAAGGCTTCCCCCAAGTGAATACAAAATGTCAGCAGTTTCGTTTAGTTTATGAGAAGTTTTCAACATTTGCTCGGTCACCACAGACATTCCCAGTAGTCTATAAACCCGTGTAATTAATATTTCACAGGGTTTGTGGCTTGATGTAACGATATTCAGAAAAATGGAAGAAGCATCTTATTATTTTACTGATTTGTAAGATTTAAGCTTTTTAATCTTATTCAAACCCATTATCATTAATTTTTGGTTGGAAAGTAATTGTTTTACAAAGTCTTAAAAAGGAGAGAAAGGCCTTTATCGATTCCTAATAGCCGTGTACGGATAATTGTGCAACAGGAAAGTCTATGCACATTGAGGAAGGGAAAATGTTTTTGTAATTATTTCTATTTTTTTTTTTTTTTTTCTCATCCTCCTCGTCCTCGTCCTCGTCCTCGTCCTCGTCCTCGTCCTCGTCCTCGTCCTCGTCCTCGTCCTCGTCCTCGTCCTCGTCCTCGTCCTCGTCCTCGTCCTCGTCCTCGTCCTCGTCCTCGTCCTCGTCCTCGTCCTCGTCCTCGTCCTCGTCCTCGTCCTCGTCCTCGTCCTCGTCCTCGTCCTCGTCCTCGTCCTCGTCCTCGTCCTCGTCCTCGTCCTCGTCCTCGTCCTCGTCCTCGTCCTCGTCCTCGTCCTCGTCCTCGTCCTCGTCCTCGTCCTCGTCCTCGTCCTCGTCCTCGTCCTCGTCCTCGTCCTCGTCCTCGTCCTCGTCCTCGTCCTCGTCCTCGTCCTCGTCCTCGTCCTCGTCCTCGTCCTCGTCCTCGTCCTCGTCCTCGTCCTCGTCCTCGTCCTCGTCCTCGTCCTCGTCCTCGTCCTCGTCCTCGTCCTCGTCCTCGTCCTCGTCCTCGTCCTCGTCCTCGTCCTCGTCCTCGTCCTCGTCCTCGTCCTCGTCCTCGTCTTCGTCCTCGTCCTCGTCTTCGTCCTCGTCCTCGTCGTCCTCGTCCTCGTCGTCCTCCTCCCCTCCTCCTCCTCCTCCTCCTCCTCCTCCTCCTCCTCCTCCTCCTCCTCCTCCTCCCCCTCTTCCTCCTCCTCCTTGTCCTCCTCCTCCCCCTCTTCCTCCTCCTCCTCCTCCTCCTCCTCCTCCTCCTCCTCCTCCTCCTCCTCCTCCTCCTCCTCCTCCTCCTCCTCCTCTTCCCCCTCTTCCTCCTCCTCCCCCTCTTCCTCCTCCTCCTCCTCCTCCTCCTCCTCCCCCTCTTCCTCCTCCTCCTCCTCCTCCTCCTGGTCCAAGAAACCAGACTCGGGAAATAGTGAAGTCTGAGTACTAGGTATTGAAAGTAATTTTTATTATTATTATTTTCTTTTTCCTTTTCTTCTGTTTGTATTAATGTAAAAAGTTTTTTCCTTTTTTTTTTTGTTTAATTGATTTTACCTATTGTCATCTGATTTTCCTGGATATTTGCAACATAGGTGCCAAAAAAAATTTAAGCAGAATGTTAGCGTTCCAATCTGAAATTCCTTCAGGTATCTGTTAGAATCCACTATTTTCCCTATTTCTTTGATATTGGTTAGACTATTTGATTTGACTTCTAAAAAAAAAAAAAGCGGGATTTTTTTCTGTAAAAAAGTATGAATGTAAATAAGTAGATTATGACATGAAAATGCATTATAGTACTCAGGCATGGCACAAGCATTGTAGTGTGTAAATCTTTTGTGTGTGTCAAGAAGTCACCCTTCATACACTCACCATGTGTGAATAGTATCAGTTTATCCATATCACATTGTTAAAAAATGAATATTACTCTGTACCAAGAACTTTGTAGGATTTTTTTTTTTTTTTCCCTTAAATATCATTATTATAAAGGAATCATCTTTTTAGATCTTTAAGGGAAATTCTTATGATTAAGAAAAAAGGAATAGGGAAGAAATATATATATTGATAATCACATGAGTGTAGTCTGAAAAGACAAGAATGTAATGTTTATGTATATAGCAACCATGAGAGAAAAGACAACCACGGCAGATACTTTACATGTTAACAAAATCACAGTAATATCCACAACACCAAGAACAATAGTGTATTATCAACAGGAAATTAGCCTGACTGACACATGATTCTGTAAACCATATCCTATCAAACCACTTTCTACCAGAAGCTGAACTTTGTTGGTCTGTCTAGTAAGATGTTGTTCTTACCTCGGAATGTGGTAATCAAATTTTCAATTTATAGATGTAACGGTGGAAATTTTCTTCGAGAGACGATTCACAGGGTTCAGCTGAAATATCTCAGGTCATTTTCTTAATCATGTCTGGGAAGGACAGCAAATAATAGGTAAACAAGATCTCAAGATGCTAACTAGATACCATAAACTCTTCTTAAGATAAGTATACTGCTCCTGATAGTCATGTTGAGCATGACACGGGGCCTGAATAGCACAGAAACTGCCTGGTGTCCTCCCAGGGATGACTAAGCCAAGCGACCGCGTTCCATGTTGTAGTGAGCTGCCTCAAGTAAAAACCAACAGATTTTCGTGTGAACTTCTGCGCTAGGCAGATTATTTTTTTGTACATGTTTTCTTTTTAGATTTTGTAGTCAATGACCACTTTATATATTGATTATATGAATGAGAGTTATGTCAAATGCAAAGGATGATATCCTATAACTGTTAGTTTTAAAAAATATATATATATGATTGTATATGGCACAGTTTTTGAGGTCAAATTGGGTAACACATAATCTTTAGTTATTTGCAGTGCATGACAGTTTGAAATGAAATCCATTAGTCTAGAATGTGAACTGAAGTTTGATGAGGGTATGTCTAGACTCAGTTTTATTTCATAATTTGTTTTTTGAGTAACAGAGAACAAAGAATTCATATTATGCAGATCTCTCTCTCTGGCACCAGTAGTGTTTCGGAAGTGTCTTCACATTGTTTTACGTCTTACAGGGGGAGCTGTCGTCAGTATGATAAACATTACGTTGGAGCTTCTCTCTGTGTAAACTCTTTCTAGCTTGCATTGTTTTGCACAGGTACCTTTTATAATTGTATTATACAAGGTTTACATATTTTCTAAAAGCTACAGTATGTTTTGATTTGTATATAAAATGTGTTGCAGTGGTTTAATGAAGGCTTCTGAATATTGTATGAAGTGTGTACTATATTAGATATAATAAAAAGTTTTATTAAACAAACAAAAACATTATAAAAGATCCTAAAAAAAATATATGAATGTACCATAAAGATAATAAAGTTGAAAAGTGTAAAGGGGAAAGGATGTGTCAACTTAAACTAAAAGACTAATAGATCTAGATATTATAGAATTACTTCATTACGTCACTTGATATATTTGCCTTTGCTCTGTGTATATATATTGTGTTCAACGGCAAGACAATGGCAGCTGCCATAGGATTGTGCAAAACAGGCTTTTGTAATGCATTAGTGAACATTTGTGATAAAAAAATTACAGCCTCATTATCAAAGTGAAATGTAATTACTCAGCTAACAATGAAACTTCTTTACAAATTAAGTCTTTCAGTAACCCCTTTTAGATAAATATTGATTACTCAGGCTGCCATTAATAATGCATGAAGCATTTATACTTGCTCTGTGCAACCACTCTTCCTCTCGCATTTGACTGGAATGACTTCTGAAAGAAAAGGCAATTTGTACATGGAATTTAACCTAGAAAAGTTAAATCTTTATAATTCTCTCCTGTTCTTTTCTCTTCTCTCTCTCTCGTGTGTGTGTGTGTGTGTGTGTGTGTGTGTGTGTGTGTGTGTGTGTGTGTGTGTGTGTGTGTGTGTGTGTGCGTGCGCGCGCGCGCGCACGCACACACACACACACACACACACACACACACACACACACACACACACACACACACACACACACACACACATATATATATAGGGGCCAGCCTATATATATATAAAAGCATATAAATGTTTGTAAGTATTTATATATATATATTCCCCCCCAATCTCTTGCCCGTTGTTGTCGTGGGAAGACTAAGGGGGCGAGGACTGGGACCCAGTGCTGGGGAACTCCCCAACCTTGGGACTCAGCCCTTGACCCAACTAATTTGGCATGGTCTTTTTTCCCTGTTTTTTTCATTTCCGTCCCTTCCCCAACCCCTTCTACTATCCAGTTCCTAAGGTGTGAGAGCCGTGCTGAAAGGATGAAAGGCTGACTTTGTGCCAGTTCTGAAAGGCCTTAGGGAGCCATGGGCACGATATCCCCCTGCTTTAGCTGCCTAGCCCTTACTCCTCAAGGGGACCCTGAGGGGTGGACTGTTTCTTTCCCCAACATACTCTAGGCTCACCATGGCCAATAATGAAGATGTTATACCATTATTTGGGGCAATGAGGCTTTGTCCCTTCATCAAAAAGCCCCACCAATTCAAACTCTCCTGATTCCCTGACCCCAGGCTCTCCTATGACCACGGCTCCAAACACTACAACAACTACCCCCTCCCCAATGCCTACTAGAACATTATCCACCCAAGTCAGCACTCAGTCTCCGGGT